GCGTGAGAGGATTTTGAGTTCCGAAGTAAGTATATTTCTGATTGTAATAAATACTTCGCCCTGAAACTTATCTTTCACCAGCTTAGAGTATTTATTTTTCTCGAAAAATTTTTCAAAAAACTTTTTTTATACTTTCTCTGGCATGGTTTTTGATAAGCCCTGCCAGAACTTCAAAGCGTTCCTGGATTCCGACCAGGAATTTTCTGGATACTTACGTTCTTGTTAGGGTTTTTACGCTAATAGATTTCTGATGATGGTTTTCAACTTTGGGAGAATCCCTCATGCCCGAAGGAACGATTAATCAAAAATTAAGTTGGCCAATCAGAATTTGAAAATTGCAGAAAAAAATTGGTTCGACAAACATTCAAAATTAATCTAATACAGCGTTTTCATTCGTTGCCGGGTAATGTCAATTTTCATTCGGTCTTTCGGGCATGCATGTAGTCTCTTATTTATACCATCTAAACACTGCACGACGCAAATGGATGGTATCAGTAAGCATCATACAACTTGTGTTGACTACCAAATACATATCGTAGACGAAGAAAAACAGACCAAAATAGCCAGAGAATACCAAATCTGTCAGTGATTGGAAAGATACCAGAAAGTAGTCCAGAGTCTGCAAATCTCGCTTGTTCGCAACTATCGCCAAACAGTAAGTGTTTATCAGAATTGTGGCGATCAAAATAGGGAGCTGCAAAGCAAAAAATGAAGTGAACGCTATTTCAGTAATGCGTCATAACCATTTTGATATGAAACGGGAGCGTGGTCCGCAATTTGTTATAAGAAAAGCGTGACCGCTTTATGGTAATTCCAGACAGATGTGAACAAATTTTTGGAATTCCACGACAACTCATAAAAAAAGTTGGATCGGCGCGAGTTCCAGAAACTCCGCAAACGACAGCATTAAATGTAAAGGCGCGACCATCAAGACCAAATTAAATTGGTATAGATTTTTTTTCTAAGTTTTGTCCAATAGAGACATACAACATCCAACCTCAGGTCGAGGCTTCGGTCATTTTTAAGCAAGAACAAATTGAAAAAAAAAAGAAAAATTTTAATAATTCAGAAATTTTTGGGGGCATTTTCAACGGTACATTTGGATTTTTAGACTGAACAACGTTCTCCGATCAACTTTTATTCCATAACTCGGAATTTACGGATTTAGAAAATATACAAAATGACAAACTTTTTTTTTGAATTTTTAAAATATATATTTTTTGAATTTCACAAAAAAAATGATTTTTTCCTCAGATATTTGAGGGTAGGGGGAATGTTCAGAGCTTTACCCTGACACGAGCAGCCATGTTCATTTTAATATAATGTGATATTTTACAACATAATAATAAACTATAAAAATATGATTATTTTTGTTTTGGTTTTTTTCTTGTCTTGATAAATAGTATTACAAGTTATTCAAATCACACGTTTTCCAATTTGAAGTTTTAAGCTTGAATTTTTAAATTAGAAGAAAAAACTTTTTTATTGAATTGCTAGTGTGAAAAAAATAGTTCTTTTCTGGTCGCAGTTACAATTTGTTTTTTGACTTTGACTTATTTTGTCACTCAGTCGTTGATTTTGACAAAAATGAGGCCCAAAAGGAACACTTCAATTTTCAATACACTTTGCGAAAAGATAAAATTTATACTGGGCAAAAGCATTTAATTTAACTTTTTTTCTATCTTCTCACTTCAGGGGTAAGACAAACTTTCTTTTGATTTAGACCAGATCTCTTTATGACGCGTTGCAAACAAATCACTTCAAAAAAATTACAATGTTTAGTTTAGCGTATGCAATTTTGGTTTTTGAAACCATGTCTGCTATTCGACAAAAAACACCCCCAACAAAAAACTGTAATTTTAGAAACGATATACTAACCTGAATAGCTTCAAGTATAAGTTTGACGAATATCAGTTCCATCATGTCCTCCTCCTGCAACGGTTTCGACTCACAATGGCGTTTTTTCATGTAAAAAGAGGTCAGGTTAACAGAAACGGTCTATTAGCTAATAGCAAAAAGTAGAAATATCTATAGCGATACTCAATCAATAGGTCCAAAAAAGGGAAAAAATTTCTGATAAGGATAGGTATTTCAAACGATAGGTCCTAAAACTAAGTTTTTATGGATGATGTTCGGTTATTTTACATTTGAGTACATTGTTATTGCCTATAAAAAGATTATGATCAATTTAAAATGAAACACATTGCTATGAAACAAAGAAGCAATAAAATTCACGGTTAGTCAATCATAGTTCAATATTTTTTAAATACTTCTGAAGACTGAAAACCAAACTCAATTATAATTGATTTGCTGTTCAATTTATTCAAATGCAGGCAAATATCGATCTAAAACTCAACGCAGATAGTTCGTATTGCGTTGTAACCAATTTGATGAAATCCGGGAGCGAGAGTTCTTTGGTAATTCCACAAACAGATGTGACCAATTTTTGCAGTTCTACCAAAATAAAAAAAATCGTCCTTTCAGAGTTCTTTTGGGCCAAAAAGTCATCTACAAATATCCTACCGAGGTGTCTCCCGTCCGTTTTGAGGTGAACTTACTTTGCAATTCTAATATTGCCAGTTTCTTTCAGGACTGTATTTCTTAAATCTAGTAAATTTGCATGTAATAGTCTGAACGTCATAGCTAAAGTTGACCCAATGTTCGTCTAATATCACTCTTATTCAACCCACTCATTCGACGTAGCAACTCACAAGTTATATATCTTTTAATTTTCCGCTTTGTTCCCCCAATGGATAAGTTTTCCTTCAATTAGAAGTAATGTGATCGAATCCCTTTTGATGAGGCTAGGGATTGGCAGTAGGCCACTTTCCGGTGTTAGTCCTGAAAATGTTGTGCATTTTTGAGCCTAAACGTCCAAAAGTGTTCAAACGTCATCCACATGTTATAAAGGTTCAATGTTAAATACTTGGGATGAGAGTACATGATGACCCTATTTACCAGTTTTTATACGTATCTTACGAGTACTTCTCGGTTTATCACGTGTTTTAGGTCCTTTATTCTATTTCCAGTAAGAAAACTATTAACACCTTCCAGACTGAACGGATGGTTTTTGTTCATTTGAAGATTTTGGGTGTCGACGAAACCAATGTTTCTCTGTCCAAGTTTTTGAGTAAATTCTTTGTAGGGGCGGTTTGCCAAAAACTAAAAATAGTCGGTCCAACCGACGGGTTTGATTCAAATTATAACGCGTAATGTATTTCATACACTCAGTTCATAGCACCGGATATAGTGGTCCAGGAGGGGTAAGGTTTAGCCTCCCTCCTGTAGGTCTATAGTATACTTTATTTTGGACCTTTCGTTTAATAATTTTGATTAAACAATCTCAATACTTCTTCCTCACTTTGAGCTATACCATTTTGCTAATTTTTTTTACGCTCCAACATTGGGTAAAAAATATAAAATGTTTTAGCCGACTGCCACAAAACTGAAACTGAGCAGAACAAAAAATTTTCCCTTCATTCAAAAAACTTCCAAAAAGCGGCATTCCGCTGTAAAGCTTTGTTATATTCTACTTCCATGTAGAACTTGGACCGTGACCGGAAAATTTGCTTCATGACAGTTGCGTTAACCCTATTTTATGTAATATTCACGAGGAAGTTGGACGCAGATAAGACAGAACAGGAGGAAGTTGGACGCGGTGAGCGCAGGTTTCCAGTTGTAAGTTTCATGTGCTGTCCTTGAGAGATTACTTTAAGATTGTTAGCTCAAAAAAATGCGAAAAACAACATGCCGTTTTATTGGGTGACGGCCCCATTGAAACACTTAAGCACCGAGACTCAGTGATAGTTATACAAGTGGTTGGGTTCGACCATGGCTAAGTTCCATCCCTATCGAGAATAATAGTAGTAAAGTCCTTTACTCACGAGACAGTCTTAGTTGAAGGAGCTAGCTCCGAGTCGAGTTGTTTTTTGGACTGCGTTTATTATTTGCTCACTGGGAAAAACTTAATTTTCACCTAGCTTCAAAACTTACTTGGAGAGCAGCAGCGCAAACAGCCGTTTTTTTTTCTCAGCTTTTCTATTGCCCGCAATGTCACTCAACTTGTTACACTCAACTCAAAATTGATGTTACCCGATTCAAGTCTACTTTAATTTTATAAGATTTTCAATCTTGCAGGTTTTCAACATAATTCAATTTTTTTTCTTAAGAACAACGGAAAGCTAGGAAAAACACCACAATTTTGATTTAAAAAGTTTACTGATTTTAGAATTTCTTCATTTATTAAGGAAGAAATTATGCTACACGGGCAATCTTTGTTTTTGTTGCTGATATCTGCAAAAAACAACATGAAATCAATACACGATGGCTCGATAGTCAATCCAAAAAATCGAATTTCTCCTTAATGAAAATTTTTTGAGCGTTTTGATTAGGCAATTAAATATGATTTTCATAGCAAAAATTGCGAACTTTGAGCTGTTGTTTTCAAAATGACCTTGACTTGTCTATCAAAATAATAATTCTTCGATTCTCAAAAAATACAGTTTTTTTCACATCCCATATTTCCGATTAGGTTTTTTGGTGATTTTTTTTTCGGAGATTGGAAAAAAAACACTCATAAACTATTTTAGAAAATAAAGTTTATGTATAAAAGTTATCATTAAAATAATCTTATTGAAAATTCTTCTCTCTGGTTTCTGTTAACTCGAACAATGCAAGATAGTCGTAATCGCAGGTAATTTGAACAGATAAGTGCAGAAGATTAACAATTATAATATATAGTTTTGAAAAAACCTCCGCGGTATCTACCCTCAAGAAAACTAAGCTTTCGTAAACTCTGTCGGTTACTTTTGAGTTTACTGCATTTTTTGTCGATTAACTTAAAAACTTTTCAATAGTTTTTTTTGATCTGCCAGTAAATAGTTTTGTCGTTAAAATCAGGACGTTCAAACATTCTAGTTTTGGCTTTCTATGTTTATATTTTGGTTTTTTTTTGGCTCTAAAAGTTGCAATTTTCGATTATGACAGGTGATTTTTTATCTGTTCAACCGTCCATCAATTTTCTCAGATCCGTAATTCCCTTGTTCATTGTAGCTGTAGTCTGAATTCCTGAAAAAAAACCTGATTTTCAAAATTTAATTTACCTTATTTCTCTTAGAACCCGTGTCGAGGTGCTCACTGTATATTTCGAGCGTCTCGACCAAAATTTGGTATGTTTCGACATCTGGGTAGAATTTGGGTATGTTTAGATTGAGCTGACTCAAGCAAGAGGTATGTTTTGACCGAGGTCGACCGAAAACATTGTGCTCTACCGAGGTCGACCCAAGTGAGATACGTTTCGACCGTCTTGGCTTAATACGGGCACGTTTCGACTTTATATTATCATTAATTATTCAAACTTAAAGGTAATAATTTATGCTTTTATGTAATATCTCAGAAAGCTTCTTTTATCAGAATGAAATTATTGGGTGAAATAAAACTAAACTGTGATTCTAGAGATGCACTATTTTTGAACCTTTTTGTCATGTAGTTACTACTCTGGTTTTCATTTTGAGTCAAAAACGTTAACGAGTATGTTGACAATCGAAAAAAAACTTTTTGTTTTTGACTGCGATTTACCGTGGACATAGCAACGGTGACATTTGACTCCGATTAATTTTCAACCGTTCTTGAGGTTGGTTTCGACCGTGCTCGAATATATTTAGACCGTGCTCGACGAATTTTGGATGTGTTTTGACCCTGCAGAACTGATTTTTGATATTTTAGAACCTGCTCTCGGTATATTTCGATTTTGTACTCGAGCCAATCCCCTGTCTCGACTGTTCTTTTTTAGTCGAGCACTGACATTTTCTCGACTTTGAAAACCGAAAATTAAAATGACCCGTGAACAACTTTAAATAATTTAACTTAATTTTTCTTGGCTTGAAAATAATCATTCGAAAAACTATGTTGAGGAAAAACTGAAAACCATTATCGGTTAAAAACAGTTATCGAAACTATTTTAAAGTTTTTTGTTATTGTGTTATTGGTTCCAAGATGGAACTCGAAGTGTGTTTTTTTTCAGCATTGTGGCGCGCTATAATAACTTAAACACACCGCGGAGCGCTGGTGAAGCGGTTAACGTTCTCATTTCTCATTTCTCATTTCTCATTTCTCATTCGAAAGGTAATGTGTTCGAGGCTCACGATGACCCGTGCTCGTTGCTTGAGGAGTGAGGCAACATTACCCAGACCAGAAAAATGACCAAAAACGCATGTAGTTCTTAAGAATTGGCGAAGCAGCGGTTCTCCGTGAAGAGCCGAACAGCTCGTATTTTGACCTTTTCCATCTTGCATCAAATTTTCTTTAAAAATTAAGTTTGACCTGGAAGGTTGTATGGACCATCGACCGTACGACAATAGCCTTTATCATAGTGCGGGTACTAACAATTAGAGGGTTTATACGTGGGCAATTTTGGTTTTGACTTTTTCGATCATATGTTAAAATCGAACAAAATGTCGCCGTCAAATTGGGCTGTGTTTCCAAACCACAAAATTTCGGGCTTTTGCGGGTTTGACAAAGTTTATTGGAAAAATTCTCCAAATTTTTATTCGCTTCCTCGATTTTTTTTGAACTTCGCTAGAACGAAATGCGAAGATTTTGGTCATATAATTTTGTCAAATTGGTTCAATTGTGGTCATTATTACAACACGATGTCGTATTGAGTGGACCGCGAAAAAGTCAGAATGGTTTCAGAATAATGCTGATTTCAGAAAACTCAGAAAATTATTGGTTTATTTTGGTCGTGAAAATTCCGTGGTTTCGAAATTAATCTCTCTTTGAACACGTGACACTGAATATGATATCAGAACATTTAGAGGGCTAAAATTGGGTAACGCTGAATCTTATGATGAACAATTTATTGCTTTGAAGATGATTCCACCACGTTCATAACAGAGAAAGAACATCGAGCGTACAAATGACAATGCTTATAGCCTTGATTATTTTGACATTGGTCGTAGAAATTGCAGAAGCAAAACAGCTAAATTTCAATTTTTTGTAAAGTGCTCACCTTGTAGATTCCCCGTAGCTGACCTGATAGTACCCAGAGTGTGGTAGCTGGAAATTGAGCCTAGATACAGTTCAGTAAAAAGAAAAATGTGATTTTTTATTCTTTGAATTTGCCCGGATTGATGAAAAATGCTAGTCATACATTTTCCATACAGTTTTGCGAAAATGGATACATTTTGGGGTAGAATTTTCTGCTTATGAAAAAAAAAAGAAAATGATTTGCTTAGTATGGAAAAAATACGATTTTTAATTATCACAAAATTTTCAAGACTTAAATTGTAACAAATACTATTTGATACTGGTTATTATTTAGATGAAAAGCAGACTAAACTCTAAATATTTATTATATGATTTTTTTTGTTAACAAAACTTTTTCAAGACTAATGGAAGAGCTGTCAAAATATTCAGGATTTTTCCCTGATAAAAACAATATTGCTCTTTTTATAAACCTGTTTTGGGACAACGTTTTTGCAGGAGAACGTTTCCGACTTAAGACTGGAACCATTGTTTTTTGTAAGGGAAAAAAGGTCATCAAATCCTTCTATAGTTTAGGATCCAAAAAAGTAAAATTTTTGCAATTCATCAATTGAGCATTGCATAGTCAAAATAATAGTTGCTTTTCTTTTCACAATGATCGTGAAAATCTATCGAACCAAAAAAATTATACACTCCACAGAGTCATTTTGCAATTATTGCCCACCAAATTGACCTCCATAAACAGTAAATTTGGTTCAAACAACTCCGAAAAAAATGTTTTTTGAACAGTACAAGCTATAAAAGTCTCATATTATGAAAGAACTTGCAGTTGAAAGAGTTAATTTTCAACGTTTCAAAGTTGCTCATCATTTTTATGTCAACTTTGAATTTTCTGATTCAAAATGAAATGTTTGTTTACCAGCTTATTTCAAATTAATTTTCAATTTATGACACACTAAAAGCTATAAAAGATTTGCCAAAAAAATTGCAGAAAAGTTATGGTAAACTTGGAAAAAAGGATACAAATGGGTTCCCACAAAACAGGGATTCACTCCTTTTCATGCTATGAAAAGGGGCTTCTTAGTTGTAGTTTAAAACAAGTTACGAAAAATCTATAGCCCTGAAAACATTTAATCTCAGTTGAACCATTAAAATGGCAACAAAAAAGCTGAATAAGTTTAGTAAAAACTGCTCAAATACAATTTGTAAACCTAAAAGCTTTTTGGTACATGTATTTTTTTCTACTGCAAAAAAAAGTTTTGGGTACGAAATCCGGATTGGCCATTTTTTCGATTGATTCAACAAACCAGATAAACATGCATAACAACACACAAAACTAATCTGACTACCCGAGTTTATTTTTCATGGTACGTGCTAAAGTTGAATAATACTTAAAAGACTTGAAATCCACTTTTTTAACAACATTTTTCAAAAAAGAAAGCAGATTGTGAAAGATTATAATTGATAACATTTTTTTGCAAAAAATATTATAGTAAGTCGATGGTAATCAGTTTTAAGTTTTTTTCCAAAAAACTATCGGTAAAAAAACATTTTTGGCGTATAATTTTGTTGTCAGAGAAAAATTCCCTGGAAAGGAGATGTTTTGTCGGTGATAGGTTCATCCTAACTCAACACTTTTACTCAAAACAAAATTTAATCGAGATGATTTATGTTCTTGGAAAGATTCCAGGGGTTTCTAAAAAACAACTCACGCATTTGTTCATGAAACTAAGTTACTCTGCTTACTTTTGATTGTTTTTTGAACTGATCTGAAAACTGCTGAATGATGTTTCAAATGTTTACCTAAGAACAACGTCTATAGACAGTCTATACATTGAAAGAAAAAATGACATTGAGATGAATATAATTTTGCACTGGATAAACTTAATAGTGTAAATTTGCACTGGATAAGCGCACAATTTGGTGTCTGTATCTTCCTGGATTCCAGCGAAAAGTCTGTAAACATGTTCCGAAATGAAAATTGATTCCACTTACAAAATCTACGTTAAATCCGCGTAAAAATACCTGTGATGCAAATTCTGTATGCACATTAATTTTGTTGCGGACTCCGCAACTAGCGAATATAGGTAGTTGTTCCGGATTCCGGAATTGTAAGCAGATTCCGCAAATTTATTCGGATTCTGCTTAAATTTTGCGGATTCCGCGAACAATTTGCGGCTTCCATTTACAGTTGCGGATTCTGCGACAGCTTAGATTTATTAAACACATATATTTTCATTTGTTTATAGATTCCACAAACTGTTCCGGATTCCACTATTTTTGTTGAGGATTCCGTAAGTTTGCCTGTTTTTGGAGCAATTTTCAGCAATACAGTGTTTTATCGATTTGTCCGTGGAATCCAAAACAGCAAAGGAAATGAAAGAAAAATAGCAGTATTGGGTACTCCGCAAAAATTTTGTTTTCGGCCAGTTGCGGAAGGCGTTTGCAATTCACAAAATGCACAGTTTGGCATCGTAATGATTGATTATAATCAATTATCATTCAGAAAAAGTTCAAAAAATTTCTCAAAGAAAAATATTAGAAACAATTCCAATCGATCAAAAAATTGAATTGGTCACCTTACAAATTAAATTGAAATAGTAATTGATTAAATTTGCTTGTTTTAGAATTTTATAAAAACAACCTTCAAAATTAGTATATAATCGATTAATAACGTTTATTAGTGAGTGCGGGCTTAGTACAGTTCAGACACAGTAGCTACGAGACTGCTTCTCATATTAAGATATTTTTCAAATTAATCATACTGCCATAAAATGCGCCTGAAAAATACTTTTATTAACCAATACTGTCAATTTTTTAAAATTTTTCTTAGAATATAACAAATATATTTCTGCAAAAATTCAAAAGCTTATCAGCAAGCTCTTTTAATAAAACAATCTGTCAACGACTCAGAAAAGTGGGGCAAATATGGTCACCGGGGCTGCATTAGGGGAGAGGTAGATTAGGGCAAAACTCTCAGGAAATCATTGTCTGCACCAACCAGTAGATCCTGCAGTTCTTTTCGAAGGGGGTTGGGTTGTAAAAGAGATGCCGCAATATTTTGGTTTCAAAAAATTTAAAAATTTCCAATTTTGGCATTCAGACTGTCTTTACGTTGTACGCTTTAAAACCTAATTAAGTCTTAAGGTTGCCCAATTGGAAGGGTAATTCCTGTTATCATTCAAGAGTTTGACAAAACTTATAACGGTAAATTACCACTCTTGTAAGAAGGCATAGAGAACTTTTTAAAATAGCAAAAGATGCTATCACCCGTTCTTCTTACCCCATTGTTCTAATCGCAATTTTGGCTAAAAACCAAATTATTCATATTAGTCAAAATTTCTCTAAAAACTTTTTTCTTTTAGGTATTTTCAATCATTTTTTTGATATCAAAACTTAATTAAAACGACAATTTTAGACTCAATTACCACACTTCCATAGGCTAAGTTGAACGGACGCAAAGTAGTGAAAGCCATGTAATACAAGTATGCAGAATCTAGGAAAATAAAAGAAGAAAGCTTATCCGAATGAAAAATGAGAAATACATAAACTCTGTATTTTAAGTTTTTTTCGTATTTTCTAATGTTTTTTTCTACATCAGAGCTCGTTAGTCAATCAAAATTTTTTCTCTTTTTGGACGAAAGTCAAATTTATAATCTCTTCAAAAAGAGCTTTCATTTCAATCGTTTCATTTGTTATCACGAAAATAATTTCCCTACCAAAATGACTCAATTATGGTACCCATCACATAAGTTAATACATTTAATAAAAATTACGAAAAAGTGCCGAATTATCTCCAAAAAAAATAAAATACAGTCTAATATCCATGTTTTCTAAAATATTTCATGGTAATTTTCTCAATTCAACGCTTTTTCGTTTTCAAAAAAGAGGTCCATAGGTTTAAATTTAAAAACTAATGTTTTGATTTCAAGGCAGGGGCGGATCTAGGATTTTCTCGAGGGGGGGGGGGGGGGATTTTCAAAAAAATTTCCAAAATTTTGACGACCTTTTTTTTAGGTCGACCAAATTGATTTTTTGAGCTCTCCCAAAGCACTGTTTTGCCCCTATTTTGGCAAAATTTTCTGCGCCGCAAGCAAATTTTTGAAAAAACAGTCAAAAAAGCCGTTTTTGGGCACTTTTTGAAAAATTTTGACAAAAAAAAATCGCGTTTTTTTTTGGCGCGCGCTCCCCCTCAGAGTTAGTATATATTGAAAAATTTTAGGGTCGGTCGGCCAAAAATGGATTTCTGAAAAAGTATCAAAGGGGGGAACCTTTGGGTCGGCAGGGGGTCGAATCCCTGAGAAGAACGTCCGCCCCCCCCCCCCGCCCCCCCTATATCCGCCCCTGTTTCAAGATGAAAATTAGAAAACATTTTAAAAACCATTTAACATTATGTTAATATCTGATAGAGAGTATCAAAAAATAATGGCTCTGTTTCTTTTCATTTCAATTGAAAAAATCCCGTTCAGAAAATCAAGTTTCTACATTTTATGGGTTTATGAAAAGAGGTTGCCAAATTTCGTAGATAATTATTAGTTTTTCTATGAGTCAGCAAATTAGTAACGAGTTGAATATTTTTAACGGTTCTTCTCAAAGCGTTAATAACCAAAAAATACCTGTAAACACAAAATTTTTGATCTATTATTATAAAATTCTGATATAATTTCAAAAGCGTACTGTTTGGTAAATGCACTGACACAACAGCGAAGTTTTCCGAGAAATATAATTTCCTGAGCAACAGAATGATTAAAGAAAAGTTGCGAAGAATTTAGCAACCAACTGATTAGAAAAAAATTGTTTGGTTATAACAAAAAAAGACAAAGAAATCGCCAACAACACTGAACTAGAAAACTGATTATAACTTCGTATGCGTTATTTTATATAATTCTTTGATTTTGTTTAGACTTCGGATAAAAAAGTCAAAAGCAATCATTAGCTTTGATTTCGTTATTCTTGCTATGTTATGTTGATGCTTATTATCACTTTTGATTAAAATTCAGAACGCTTTTTAAATTAGTTTACGATGCCAAGTTGGTTTTTGTAATAGACCACAAAATTGTGCTCGCTCTCTTTCTAATTCGACAAAAAAGTGTCTTAGATGCTTTTGTAGCGCAAGTTCAGAGAAAAACAAACAAAAAACTCGAAACAAGATTATGTTTCAACCCCGTTATTAGCTGTTATGCCTTTTTAAAAAAGTGTGAAAATTACATGAAAAACATTTTTCTTCTAAGATAAAAACGTATGAACAGTATAAGAGCCAAACAAAAATTAATATGAAATTAATGCTTACAATTTTTTGACTAACTTGCAACAGAAAACGCTTTCTAGGCAAAAACCTGAAATGCCAAAGATTTCAGTATCATGCATTGCTTGCAGATTTGCCAACAATTTAGCTGCAGATAAATGAATTCATCATAAGAGATCAATTTCAAACTTAACTTTCTTGTCTTTTTCTTCGATTTGTAAGAATTGATCTTACGTTTGCTGCGAAGTAAACGCCTTATATAAGTGAGAAAAAAAGACATGGTAAACCAACTAGCCACAAATAACAATAACCGAAATAGTGTTTAAATTTTTAACGGTGATTAAAAAACTGTAAATATTATCCACCCGGATCTAAACATTTTACTTCACTCATTTCAAAAATAACAACGTTTTGGGTGTTTCCATTTTTTGTAAATTTGTTGTTTAGTGATTTTTTAAAAGTCGTAATTATTTTTTGGAATTATAGCAGCAAAATCATTTCTGTATAGTTTATAAAAAGTTGTACGATAATTATTGCCGCAAAACTTTAACTTTTTTAACTTAAGCCTAAAAACTACATCATTTGACAACCTCAACAGAGTTTTTTCAGATTATAAGGTGGACAGACTATTTCAAATGCATGACTACCTTGAAGCGATGAATTTATGTAAGCTGTATTCTAATTATTTACTTGAATTTGTGAAATATGTTGTGAGCCATTGTTGCGAGATAATCAGTCAGACCTTAAAATAATTGTCGGATCTTGAAAGAATTGATAAATTAAAAATGATGGCGACAACTTTGCGTACGTTCATAGTTGTTCATAATACGTCAATATTCATAAAACTTGTTCATAAGCTTGTTCGGTTTTTGCGAGTAGTTTTCATTCGTTGCTCATCTCTGCTTCATCCAAATTCCATAAGCGAAAAAAAATTATGTGTTTATATTTTAAATCTTGTTAAAATAATTTGATTTTCAGGTCGCCATCGGCTGACTCTCAAATTTGTTGGAAATTGATAAATACGTTTTTTTTTGCTAATTTCAAATTCACTATAAATCGTTTAATGCTCGATATTATATATTACGTTGAAGCATTGATAAGAAACTTGCAGAACTATCATTAATTAGTTAACTTGCTGAACTATCATAACCAATTAGAATGGTTTGTATTCAATTCAAGACCATTCCCTCCCAGACTACGAACCCCCAATACACACGCCACATTCCATGCTCCCACAATCCAACCCCCCCCCCCCCCCATTCCAAGTCCGCGCAATCCACCGACAAATTTATTACTAAATGTAAATTATCATGAATTACCTTTTTCAGCTCCGTGAATTACTTTTTATTACATTATGGGAAAATTGGAGAAGTCTAACGAAATGAATGTACAAAATTTGAGTAGTTCTGCCTGAGAAAATTTCATAAACAAATGAAGAATTAGCTCAAAATTTTTTTAAAAAGAAAATATTTTGTCGAACACATAAAAATATAACAAATTCTTATCTATTTTCAATGTTTAATAATCTATTTCTCTTCATTAAATGGAGACTGACAATAAAATGACAAAATAGTCAATTTTGTTTTTGAGAAACAATTTTGCAAAAGCTTCATTAGTCGGGGTTCATGTTTTCGACTACTGTAATGGTCAAGTTATTTATGAAACACACAAAATTTCGCTGATAATTGCATAAAAGATCTTGAACCACTTTCAACATTGGATCGTATTCATAGTTTGACTGCCTTCCAAGAATAACTATACATACGTCTCCGATTCCGTAATCGGTGTTCCAAAACTCTTCAATTTTTTTTGCACGTTCGCCTCTTATGTCATATACTTCGAGTTCGTTGATGTGATTAGTTCCGCTTCTGTAGCCAATCCAGAAATCGTTTAGTTTGTTTTCGCTGGCTGATTCATTGGACATCATATGTCGCATTAGGAACAATATTTGTTCGGACCAAAATGGGAATCCGGGAACCAAATCGGAACCAAAATTATGAAACAATTGTCCCGAAACATCTTCACAAAAAGTTTGAGCCTGGAAAAAATTTTTTATTTTAGTTTTCACCCACTTAAACCATCTCAAGTACTGAATCTGCTTCGAACCTGCCAAGCATGTTTGTAAGCCCCCATGTGACAATTTGGTCAAACAATTTCTTTCTCGTGCCTCGTACCAATCTGTGCTGTTGTCTTCTTCAAAACTGTTCCAATCTGACCATTGGTCATCAACTCTTTTCGTTTTGATTTGACAGATGTCAGGATATGAGTCATTGTCGATACCAATTAGAACACCTTCGGGGTCATCTCGGTTATACCCCCTCCCCCCTCTATATCGCGACATTCAAAGGAATATAAGTTTTGGACAATATCAAAGTGAAAAAATTTGAACCGTACGAAATTAATACAACACATGAGCCTCAATTCAAACTGGATTGTATCCATAATTCGCGTTAACCTCTCAGCATTATGAATAAACTCTTCAAAGCGCGCATAATTTAGTCCAGAACATTGCCAATTTGGCAGTTTTCAAACCCCCAGAACTTTACGAAAAACAATCGGAGGTAAAACATCTTTTATAATTTGAACTCAAGAGGTCAATATCTTCATTGGGGTATAATTTTTTTTGTTTAAATTTATTATTTTGATCGACGAAAATTGACCGAATAAAAAACCACACCGAGCATAAATATTTTGTTCTCTTCGAAAGTCGGAACAATAAAACGGAAAAAAATTGATTAGAATGAAAATTAATGGTCTTAATCAACAAAAATGAGAAATAATTGATTACAATTGATTTGCAATGGATTTTAAAGCTTTTTAAAACAACAACGCTCAACATAGTAATCGAAATGTAGTTATGATGAATTGTCTTAGCAACGAAAATTAAGGGTACAAATTGCACGTGTTAGGTGACAAATTTTCTCAGATAAATTGCGTTAAAATGCTTTGAAGCTTAGAGAAAACTTTTTAGACCAAAACTTTGGACTCTTTTTTATCAAAGACTTAGAGTTAATTTTTCTTACGACAAACTTTCTTTTATGAACATCCTATTTAGAGACTATGCAGAGAAGCATATTATGACTTTTGTGAAATGCAACCCTGAAGTGAAATCCAATCTTTTTTTGTGAAATTCTTTTTTTTCTCTAAAATTTGAAATTTGTTCTTTGAAAATAATCCCCCCACACGCCAAATAAAGTACAAAACAATAGATTTCTCTACTTGTAACAAATCAATTATGGCAAATAATCTTCTTCCAACCAATGTGGAACGATTTCTAAGACGGATTAAATCTCCGCTTACGCGTTGATAGCGCGAAATTTATCGCGCGTTATTGTCCCAAAATGGCCAAGTTAGAAACTTTTTTTATCCATATAACTGCACAAAAAGCACCACGGGTAATATTTTGTTTTAAAATAGAGCTTAAGGCAAAAAAATATTTCAGTATAAAAGTTTTTATCAAAATGCTTTGTTAAGAAGTCGCAAATTGAATGATTAAAAACCAGCCGGAACAAAAATATCAGTCAAAAGTCTGATCATAAGTCTTCTTAAGAAAATCAATGTATTTGTCAATGGGAGTTTTTTCTGTATGATTATAAAAAAACTTATCATTCAAGCTTCAAGTGTTCATCTAGTCCACCTTTTGTTTGCAATTTAATTCTTTTCCAACAGGTTTTAATGAAATCATTTCGCTTCCTATGTTGTGCCTGCGTTCGCTTTTCACAGATACTCTATTATAGACATACGTTGTAACAATTTCCTTTAGCTTACAAAAGTTCTTGTTCTGACTTTCGAAGAAAACGGAATATTTATGCTCGGTGTGGTTTTTTTATTCAGTCAATTTTTGCCAATCGAAACAAAAATTTTCAACAAAAATTTTTTATACCCCATTGAAGATCCTGAATTCAAATGTAAAAAGATATTTTGCCTCTGATCATTTTTAATAAAATTCTGGGTTTTTGAAAATAAATTGGACTAAATTATGCGCGCTTTGAAGAGATAAATCATAATGCTGAGATCGTAACGCAAAATATTTATGCGTGATGAAGTATCCCGCACACAAAAACGTTCCAAATCGAAATGAGGCTAGTTAATCGGTTAATAATTTTGTACGACTCATAGTTTCACTTTTTGATAATTTTCAAAATTTTTAGTTTTTCAATATTTTCTTTTCTGAAAAACTATTATATATGAATTACGGGACAGTCGGAATATTCAGAGCTTTGCTCTGATATACGAGCAGTCTTGTTTGTCAAATCAAACATGTTTGCTAGATTTTGTAGGGTAATGAATAATTCAAATGGTATAGATTTAGCATAGAGGAAAACAATCTTGGTTATAATCAACTCTTTTACTAGAAAACACTTTTTTCTCTCCAACTTATGTTTGTTGAATCTGCTAACTTTTCCTATGGGTTCGTTTGGAAAAATTTGGACGAGACAATTTTTTATTGAATTTTTGATTTCAATGGTACGATTTACTGTACCTAACGTATCGACTTGGTTACTACAGTAGCCTTTTGTGTAAACATGTTTCTA